CATTTTGTACAATCACACACACATACACACACACACACACACACACATTAATTTAAAAATATCCTATTTCCCGGGGAAGTGAGATTCCGCAATCATAATACGATGTATTTACAGACGCTCAATTATCAAAGATATTAATTAGTCATTAATTAAAATAATTTAATAATCAAGTAATATCTGTGGAGCACAAATCCGCGATGTTTCTTAAATACTAATTGAATCGAATAGAAGTTAGGACAGATCTTATAAAAATAAAGAGGAAAAGAAAGAAGAAAGAATTGGATAATATTTGCGAAAAAAAGTTATTTAACACTTTGATGCCAATTTAATTTCGTAAAGTCAAGAAGTACGAGGGCATTTATAAAATATGCAGGTTTAAATTAAATAAACCATAAAAAATAAATAAAAAAATAAATATAAAAAAATAAACGCTAAATAAATATAAAAATATATTTTATACAACTTATATTATATGTTATACATATACTATACACAGTGAGGAATGCTATACAAAGTGAGGAAAAAGTATCAGATCGATAAAATATTTTGAAAACAAGGTATTTGAGAGCAAATGTTACGTACAAAAATTGTTTCAACTATGTTTTATCACGCGGAAGTTGCCAGGTCGATAGTACTTTAAAAAGATGTCAGCTACAAGAATATCAAATAAACAATAGAGATTTCTATTTAAGATTTTAAAATTTGCCTTGAGATCTCTTTCATAACTGCACTTAAGATTAAGTGGGTACCTCAGTTTGATGCATTTGTTGAAGTCCTATTTTTGTATGTAATATTTTTTTCTTAAATGCTTTGCTTTTGAAACGTTTTATCAATCTGATATTTTTCCCTTATCCTGTACGATAATATATAATATAATATAAATTATATAATATAATTTTAAATGAAATAAATGAGAGTGTCATTTACAAACCAAAATAATAGGTCTTTTGTGATTGAAACAAATATAAATAAAGAAATAGAAAATAAATATATACAATCATGTTTCTAATAAATCGAGTGTATTATTTTTATATTTTATTGTTCTATTTTAACGTTTTAATAAATACTTAATAAAATAATTCCTTAATTACGGCTAAATAAAATCATCACTTACTGCCATATGTGCGACATGATAATCAAAGTGTCAATGACTGTATTCAAATTTATTTTTAACGATACGTATGCCATACAAACATTTGTTTCAGATAATATTAATGCAGAGACACGTTACGATAAATAATCAACAACGGTATCTTAGGCGTATCGTATATGTACAATGCGCGAAATAGCATTATAGAAATCGAATTAGCAAGACATTCTTTCGATATTCTCTGAAAACGATAATAACAGTCCTAACGAGTCGATATAGACTTTGCCTTCGTTTACGCTCTACGCTTACGATGGCTATAACAACATTAATATAATTGTCGCCGAAAAACGCTTCGTCGAGTCTTTCTTACCTAGCAATTCTTATCGTGCTGCAAATAAAATCGTTTTGATTTTGGCTTCTTTGTATAAGAATGTGTTATTTGTAGGGTCGGTGTGATCTTTCTCTCTCCCTCTCTCTCTCTCTCTCTCTCTCTCTCTCTTTCTCTCTCTCTCTTTCTCTCTCATCAAAATAGTTCATTATTAGGCGTACTCTCGATGTAACAACTGCGTTGAGACGCGTTAAAAATAAATTCATCGTTGTCTTAACTTTAGCGCATTCATTGTGCCTCGAATTTATACGTTCGAGCTGGGATTAATGTTCCGTTTTTTTTGCGAGGATCTGTTCTCCAACTTGACACAAGTTATTTTTACTTAAGGATAAGCTGTGCAAAAGTTTCTACGCTGAAAACGGAAGGGAATAATGTGCGAATTGGATTTGTACTTCACGTCTCCAATTTCATTGCAGCCTCTCTCGCATAAATTTTAATATATAAGAGGAATTTTTACCTTAAAGCCGAATTGAAGATAAAAGCAATGGGTTTTTTAAGAACGTCCAGATCACCACGACCAAACTCCTATTTCGAATATTTGGCAACTGACACCTCTACGCATAGTCGCTGTTAGCATTATATAATAATTAGTAATTCTCGTTTCTACTACGACTGAGATTAACGCTATCGCTAACATTCGCATCCGTGATTCGTCTTCGAGCGATAGGATGCGATAATTACCTCGGCTAATTTGATTATCGAATTGTAATACTTCCGTATATTCCTAGCACACTCATATCCGTTCATAATTAATTAACGTATGTATACACAGTATTCCAAAATCACGAGAGAGAGTTTTAAGGACCACCTTCGCGTAATTTCGGGCGATCTATCATCATTTCGAGTAATTTATCATTTACCGTACCACGTCGATATAACAATACCGAGATGGTTTTGTGAATAACGAGCAAGTGCTATTTATCTGGCGCAAATTAATTATGAGAAATATCGAATATTTAATTTATACAAATCCTCTCTCTCGTAGAGGATATTCTCTTAATATGAATATACAATGCATCTCTCGTCTATTGTTTTCACGTCGAAATACTTGGTACTTGCCGAGTTCCGGTCAATTCGAAACTCATATAAACTCCCCCGCGTTATTGGCACACATATAGGAAAAAGGTCTTTGTCCGCGAAAGTTGAATAGACCTCAAAAACTCAGCCGCGTGATGCTGGAAACTTGCTGAATGTCGACGAGAGCGTGGCGTACGCGCGCCCGAGGGTAAACAAAACACGAAGGTTTCCGATATGAATAACTGTACAAAATCGCAGTCTGTGCAAAAGGACCATTTTTTTCGGACGACCAAGTTGCGGCCGTCGAGTATGCGTTTACGATTTCAAATGTCACTCTTTGCATTCAAAATTATTCTGATAATTTCTCATAATTTTCTGACAATTTTTCGTTGTCAAAGAATCTATCTGTCCTGAAAGAAAACACAATAATTTAGAAATATAAATTATTCAGTTAATGGAAGCTTTTTCGATTTTAATTTAGATTCCTCTTTTATAGTTCAAATGTATATTACTTAATTTATGATAAGAATGTCCGTCAGATTTAGTTATATTCTTAAATACTGTCCAATATTTTATGAGTTGATTTGACAAGTTGAAGAAAAGTTTATATGAATATGAATGATCTCGAAAATCTCATTTCAGAGATACAAGGTATTAAAAATTCTATAAAATTATTTTATTCTTTTAATTACCATTTTTTAGAATCTTTAATGAGAAAATGTATTTTAATAAAATAATAAAAATCTGCAGAAAGATTTGATTCCATTGTCATAAAAGTTTTGGGCATTAATGCACTAAAATTTGCTTCTATAGTTGCCATTGACTTTTTACAGAATATTACAAGTATTTACTAAAAAAAAAACCTTTTTTGTTTAAAAGCTATTAAAAACAATTTTATAGAATTTTTAACACCCTATATCTCTGAAATAACGCTTTTTGAGACCATATGTTCACATAAGCTTTTCTTCGTGAAATGACCTCAAAAAGTCAATTCCTAAAATATCGAAGTGTTACGAAACATCTTGTGTAACTTGGTGTGTCGCCACGGGAGTACAAAGAGTTAAACAAGCGTTGGCAGATCACTCACATTTCGTGGGAATATATAAAACGTCTGGCGTTTATAAAATGCTGTCGAGTGCGGCAAGATAGACGAGGCCCTTCGTGCTGGTCGGAAGCTCCGTGAAGGATGCTGAAGGGGGGACCTGTCGCGATTCGGGATGACCGTTCGAATACTACGAGGAGAATTCGGAGAAGGTCGGCGAGTTGCTGTAGCTTAGAATCTGCTCCTCGTTCGGGCACGATCCCTCTTTCCTCGCGCGCGCTTCTACTCTCTCGGAAATGCTGCTGATCGCGGCTTCGTTGCGATCGCTCGGCTCGAGAAGGAAATACAAGAGTATATTGATTAGGAATTGCGTCTCGTGACGATATAAAGCCGTAACGAACGTTACAAAGCGTGGCAAAGTAAAATTAAAAAGCGCTACAAAATAACGCAAAGTTGTAGCGAGAGAGTTAGCCATGGTGAGAAATTTCAGAAAAGTAAATTTCTGAAAGCAAGCGAAAAAAGAGAAGTCCTGCGATGCAACTGAAATGAACAATCGCCAAGTGTGCAATAAAACGACAAATTCCTTGAATAAAGCGAGGTATAAAAGTCCAGGTATCGAACACCTTGCGGGCGATTTGCATGGAAAAGAAAGGCTTTCTTGCGTATCAAGCTCTTGCAAGCTAATTGAGTCAGCTGTGCTCGATTAGATTTTCACTATCACGCTCTTTTGAAAAGCCATTCAATCTGCTCGCGTTCCTGCTGAATAATCCTCTGTCGGAGGCGAGGAAAATCCATCACCTGATCGGAATCGCGACGCGGTTCGCCCGACTCCTCGCGCTGACTCCTCTCGCGTGCTTGGCGCATCGCCAGGCTGACCGGCGGGCTGGCAGTGAGCTCCGGCAGTTCCTGAACGGTCGACAGCTTGCGCCCATCTTCGTCGTCGTCGTCGCTGCTGTCGTTGCCGCCGCCGCCACCGCTGCCGCTGCCGCCGCCGCCGTCGTTGCCGCCGTTAACAACATACACCTCCGCCTCGGTCTCGCGCATCCTCGCCCGATGCTCTGGACAGGGAGGGAGGTGTATGAGAGCGACCTAGCTAACGGAAGTCTCCTCGACCGACGGGCTCGCCAGCGCCTGGGTCTCACCGTTCGCGTGCTTCCGCTCGTCCGCGCGTCCCGTGGCCCCGCGGGGCATCGTCGGACTGCTGCGTGAGGCCGCCGAGGCCGATGTCACGCTCTGCATTGTCTGGCTGCGACCGGCGGCGAAGCGCATGCTGTACGCCGCGCGATTGCCGCTCTGCAAGCCGCTCGTCTGCGGAAGCCCCGAATAAATTGTTAGACATCGTCAGGTGTATTGGGCGGAACAGGGGAGCGGGGGGCGAGGGTTGTAGTTTAATAGCGAATATATCCTCCCCTGGTCTGTATTTCTACAATGCGCACCGTTGCAAGCGAAAAGCCGTCGCGCGCCGATTTACCATAGCGCACACGTATAAGCACGACTCGACCAGGGGAATGGAAATTCACTCTACTCGGCATAAATTCCGCAAACAGTGCGGTAACTTACGGCTGAACGTCAAATTGATCGAATTGTTTAGCGTTAGCGTTAGCATATACGTCTTTAACATCAATTTCAGACCGGCCTTTACATGCGCCTTTGTGCGCACCAGTGAATCTAGCCGAATTCGGCATAACGTTCACAATTAATTCTGCAACGTTTCAACACAGTGTCCACGTGTTCACCGATCTGTTTCTAACTATAGATTTATAGAGACTCAATTCCCCCTTTTGTAATTGCACTTCGATAAAGCGTGTTACGATTATTTTTTAATGGTGGACGTTATAGTTATAGAAAACTCAGATATATATTTACGACTCTAAACCTCAATTTCTTGTAATTTAAGTAAGTAAATAAAGGAGGGGGATTGTTATTTTGATGCAATTTTCTCAGTATTTTGTGATCGGAATTATTGCAAAATAAAACGGTTTTTCTATCGTGTTTTAATTTTGAGGAACAAATGTTATTAAATTCTATGATACAAACACGCGCGCGATAAAAACACTGTTGAAAAAAATGCACAAGAACGAGAATAACGGTTAACGAGAAAATGTTTGCCATTGTTTTTTTGGACGCTGAATACGATCCCGTTTAGTAAATTGCTCTACCACGTTATATTTTGAGAAGTTTGCAATTAAAATTACAAAAAAGACTATTTTAGTGTATTATATTAGAACTTTGACGCAATACATTTTACGTTAATCATCAATATCTTTTTAACCATAATCGACGCAACAAATTCCTTTTAAAGGCTGAACGTAACAACGTACTTATAATTTTGATTGCAATAAAACTTCTCCAACACGTCACATATCGTAATTATAATGTACCAAAATACATTAAAATAGCCTTTTTTGCAACTTTAATTGCAAATTTCTCAAGATTCTGACGTGATAGAGCAATTTGACAAACAGGATCGAATTGAGCGTCCAAAAACTATAAGAAATGATTATTCTTCAGTGTTAGAAAAAAGTAATTTTTTGTTAAACAGTGTAATAGGATGTAATTAATTTTAATAGTTTCTTTCCTTGTTTTGTTGAAGGATAGTGCTCCCTCGCGTTAAGTGCTTAATTCTCTTGATGGCCAGTATGGGAACTAGGACAAACAGCTTCGACGACGGGATTTGTTTAATAATGAATATCCAGGAATTATCCATAATGCTAACAAGAGAAGGGATTTGGAAGAGAAATATGTTTATTGTTTATATATGTCCCAGAGCATTGAATTGGTAATTTTGCACTATACTATTGTGTGCCTTCTAATCAATAAATCGTTTATAATAGCGAAACCCCAATGTGTAATTTACTGTGGCATTAGATCAAAGTTTGTCCGACAAGCTTGTCCTCGCGCATGGTAAAGGTTAATAGGCAATAAAAATCTGTTTACTTGTGCGAGGAGAGGAGAATGCGATAATTTGAGTCGAATCTAGGTATACGGCAAAGTCTAAATTGAGTTCTCGAACGGCAAAAAGGTTACCCCTTGAAATCCCCATCAAAGTTAATGTAATATACAAGTTATTCCAGAATCGGCGAAAAACAGAGATTGCTGTTACTATACATATATAATAGTGAGATTTGGAGTCAAGTTAAATTCTGGAAACTCTAGAACATTCTGTCAATCCCGTTTCACGAATTAAATTGTTAGATGGGATAAGTAACAAAACCAGCATACGCACGTTAGGGTGACCGGGGCGGACGTTTTTATACGGCTGGAACAGCACCAGGTAGACCTTGGGCGTAAAGAGGCAGCCGAGGGCAACCGAGGCGGAGATGTTGATGCACATGCACATACTCGCGATCTGAACCTGCAATGTAGGCAGCCGTCCGCTCGTCTTTACATGTTAACACAGAAAAACGCGCCATAAGGCTCGTGTGTGTGTGTGTGTGTGCGTGTGCGTGTGCGTGTGCGTGTGTGTGCGTGTGCGTGTGCGTGTGCGTGTGCGTGTGCGCGCGCGCGTGTGTGCGTGTGTGTGCGTGTGTGTGTGTTGTGTGTGTGTGTGTGTGTGTGTGTGTGTGTGTGTGTGTGTGTGTGT